TATACACAACGACGCTATAGACGCAACCCTGATCAGGTGGATATTATGATGATGATGATGCCCACAGAGGCTTGATGATAATGGCGCTATATGCACGTATATATTGTATAACGATGGCGCTATATGCGTGTATATATTGTATTCGTGCATATCATGGCCCACTGATGCAAGATCAAGAAGGTCAAAAATCTAAGAAATTCAAGAAGTCTAAGAATCCATTCAAGATTAGTATTTCTTTTCCATAAAGATTAGGATTTCTTATTTCTTGTTTCCTAGTAATTTGATTCTTGTTTTAGTAGGACTATATTTATAGTTCTAGTCAAACTAGGATTGTTAGTTGGTAGTCTATTCCTACTAGAATTCTTTTTTCTATTTTAGTTAGGATAGGTTTTCTTAGCCTTATTCTTATTCTAGTTTAATTAGGATTAGCTTGCCTTAACCTTATCAATTATACTCATTGTAAGGCCAATTTAAAAGGCTCAATATGCTGAAAATAAATGTTGGTGATTAGTTTTCCTAAGCTCCTGCTTCAAAAACGTGATTTCTCTTTTGTTTATTTCTTCTTCCTTTATTCAACGCTTCTTGCAATACAGAACCAAGGTTGAGTTTCGTATTCCTCTATTACATTGATGTGTTTCCTTATGTTGTTATCTGCCTTACATACTCGGTACTTTATTCGTACTGCTATCCCTTTTGCCTGGGGATGCTGTGTTTCATGCTCGCAGATCCCGATACACAGGTTGACGGTCCTCCCAGTAGGTTACCAGCTTAACGGAAGGTGTTGTTACACTCCAATTGCTCCGGAGTTGCCTTTTGGAGTCAATATGCTTATGTACATATGTAATGGGTATGGCGGGACCCTGGACCCACCTTATGATGTTTAGGTACTCTTTAGAGGCTTGTTGACAGATGTCATGTGTATATATGTTTTGTTCGACTTTGTAGGCCCATATATCTCATGTATATCATTTGGGGTCGTCCCTTGTCGAGTATTCTTCATGTTATATTCAGGATTGTCTCATGACGACCTTCCGGCCCACTTATGAATGTTAGTATGGTTATTGATGTACGTTGTGGTGGTGCCCAGCAAGTAAGCCTGGGTGCCCGTTGCGGCCCTCCGGTTTGGGTTGTGACAATTTAGGACCTCAACATGTTAAAATTTAGTCTTTTCTCTCAATATTTCTAAACAGAACGTCCATGGCCACCCTAGGATTATCATACCTGATTAGAGGTATAAAAGAAAAATAGGCCAGCTATCAATAAAGAATGAATAAAAAATCTAATAAAATAGCTTGGCAAATTGGAAAGACGATCGTATGGATCAGATTTTGGCTTAGGATGTTGACACAAGGAATTACCTCCAACACACAAAATGACACTAAAGTTAATTCAAAAATCCAGGCAGAACAAAATAACTGCTGCATCCAAGGGTTATATCATACCTCATACTGCTTCTTAAATTCGAGCAGGGCAGACTCTACGTCCATCTTCAGAGTATTTACACGAGCATAACGAGGTTTCGGAAGGTCTGCAATAGAAAATGGGAAACAAGATTCTGGTGAAAATTTCAAGGCTGCATTTTATGCTCAATTGAATAAATACACCAAGTGATAATCGAACAAACAACCCTTATTAAAATAAAATAAAAAACATAGAATATAGACAGTTTTACCGTCTATTTTTTTATAAAGAAACAATCTTCTTAGTTCAATTATATTTTACAAAGTCTGTTGACAAGTTTGAATTATGTACATCTCAATGTTTGATCCATAGAGATAACCACCATTAACAGGATTAGAGTCAAAATACATACCCGAGATTTTATAAGAAGTCATCAAATCTGAGACATGTTTTACTTTCTTTCGCACTAAAAGCTTGGCAAGAGCTGCCTGCAACATATCCTTCCGCTGCAGAAGAATTTTTTCGGCATCACCAGCTAATAAAGCCTCCTGTACAAAATTAAACAGATCGACGTGAACAAGAAACCAAAGCAATGAAAGTATGAAACACACTGGGGATGTATATTGATAAATACCTGGCCAAAAAGAATGTCATACAAGATTATATACATTAATTCTTCTTGCCTCTGCAACAACATTAGCAGCAGTATTTAATGAACAGTTAACATTAAGTAAGCAGCAGAACAGTAGCAGCAGAAGTTTGCCCAAAGTCTTTATCTTAACTACTTTCTGTCCACTGTAATGTATTGGTATATGGTAACATTTTTCCTTCCAAAACTCTGGCAAACCTCCACAGCAAAATCTCAGATTTCTAAATTGCTGCTTAGGAGTTATATGGATATTTCATATTGCAATAATTCACTACTTCCTATTGTGCAGATAAATCCGAACTATTACACACCAAAGATGTCAAGCAATATCCAACATGTGAAACAGTTGATACAAACTGGGATAAGCATTATGTTAAGAACGTAGTACTTCATGAAACGAGTGAAAGATGAATAAGGAGAACATAGATTACCTAGGTGGTTGGCAGTAGAAACACTAAACTGACCCTACAGTTAAAAGACAATCAGACAATCATAAGACTCTCCTCTGCTTTTCAAATTTTGAGTGGAGTTGGTAGCCTGGCACACCGAGTTATTTGAAATGCAAACATCATATTTTACTTGTTAGTTCAAATCGTATAAAAAACGATTGTTCTTAGGATTGTGAAATATCAATAAGCAGCATTCAAGAAGCAAGTTCTATTTTGACATGAACAGAAAGTTCAGAGGTTGCCAGATAAACTTGAAAATGACAATTGACCACTAAAACTTTTTATAATTGACAACATATGCCAGATAGATAAAATCATTGGTTATTTGAGATATTTATGGAGCTTAAGTCTTCCAATAAATCCATTAGAAAGCTTTTTACTTTGGATAATCTATTATTTAATGAATGTATGATGAAGCTACTTGACATTTAAGAGATGTTGGCACTTTTAGCACCTGTAATCACTAGCCTGTAGATAAATCGTTCTTATTCAATCAATATAAAATAATGAAACATATTAATTATAGAAAAGAGTAACAGAAGATATTCAAATGAAGAAGCACCAAAGGATGCCCAGAGCACAGGTTATTCAGAATATTACTCGAAAAAAGAGAACGAAAAAGAGGAAGATCTTTCAAGTAAGCAACAAGAATTGCTCATGTCCAACAGTTAAGCCCCTATATCATGCAATAAGAGAAGTTAAAGTGCCAAAACCCGACAATCAATCAAAATCCGGAAGTTGAAAATATTTCTAACCTTCCACTTGCTACTCAGCACATTGGCAATGTCAAAGACATCCTTGATAATGGGAAGATCTGCAGAAAGGAAGAATCCAGAACATTTGAAATAACAAAGCCTAGGAAAGGACCTTTTCTGTAGGTATGGAGATAGCATGATTTTCAGTCACTGAGTTGATACAAAAGTCATTTCAAGAGTAAATACCTTCCAATATTTTATGTTAAAGCCCTTAAGATTTTAAAATTCAAAAGACAATCAGTGCCGTTAAAGTACATGTATTAATTTTGAATATCTGAGAAGAGAAAAAAGAAAAAACCGAAAACAATTACATTAAAACCTCCAAGAGAAAGCTATGAAGCAGTGTTGTGAAAAGCGGGCGCTTTCTTGCTTAAAGCGAGAAGCGAAGCGAGGCGACCCATCGAACGCTTCTACCAAGCATTCACTGCCAGTCACTCCTAAATCTACCTGGTATGGACTGCTAAATCGATTCTGATTAAAAAATCCTCTGAAGCGTAGCAGGTATTCAAAAGCGCTCGCTTCCCACTAAAAAGCGAGAAGTGACGATGCGAAGTGATGCGTAAGAAGCGAGCGCTTTTCTGTTTTAAAGGGCTGTCAACCTATTTAATTGAAAAAGATGTTCTTTTTTTAAAACATATCGACCAGCAGCAACAGCGAAAGAAAGAGGTGACTAGGGTTCAAGTTTTCTACACTTTTCAACTTCAAGACCATCAAGTTTGGTCCAGGTATGTGATTTCTTCTTCTTCCTCCTCCTCCTCCTCCCCCTCCTCCTCCTCCTCCTTCTTCTTCTTTTTCTTCTTTTTCTTTCATTGTTTCAGTGTCCAAATAGCAGCGAAATGCTAGCGAATTTTTTTTTTCCCTTCAGTTCTTCTTTCTCATTCTTCTCCTCTTCTTCTTCTTCATTTTCTTGCACTGTTTTTTCGGTTGAAATGCTGCCCATTTTTTACTGGAATGGTATACTGCCCTTCCTCTTATTTTTATATCATTTATTCCATTCAGTTCTTCTTTCTCATTTTTCGTTTGAAATGCTGCCCATGAAGAAGAAGAAGTTGAAGAAGATGACGAGCAATATAATAATGATAGTGGAATACAAGAATTTGACAATCTTGTAGAAGAATAGAATGCTCATTTTGTGCTTTAATTGATGCTATTATTTAGTTTTTACATTGAACTATTGAACATTTGCTTACAGTTACATGTATTGTCTATCCAGTATTTATTTTAATATTTTTTTTTAAAATTTCGCTTCACTTCAAATAAGCGAGCGCTTCGATTCTCGCTTTAAGCGAAAAGGGGGTTGTCGCTTTTCTTCGCTTCACGCTCTTCACAACACTGCTATGAAGCATGCTTCTTACACTGTATCAACAACTAAAAGCGAGAAGGATGAGCAGATGCTTCTGACTACAGGGACTACCCTATTATTCCGTTATTGTCATAAACTAAAGTCGATCTTAAGCAGCACAGATAAACACATCCCATTTTCAAACTGTGAACATGGTCCGGACTCCAGCACGAAAATTTTGTTCGTTCCTGTCAAATAGAAACTCAAAACATATCCTCAATTATCAATTTTAGCTATAGTATTTCAGAAGTTACACACAAGTATTCCCAAAATATTTCAGATTAATACCCGTAAGCTTTGAATTCAATATCTCCTATGATCACTTATTAATAGCAAAAAGCAGCCAACTCTCTCTTATATTGTTAAAAACTAGGATGAGTTCCCAAAATGCAGTTGACACAGCAAGCAGACAAGCAATTTTGGTCAGTCAAACATGTATTCACTACCACTTCGCAGTTGTATGGTAAAAGTAAAACCCTTCAGTCTAATTATAAGTAGTATCATTCTTCTTTAGCTATCTAAACAGTAGTATCCTCCCATTTTGTGATAGTAAGCATTTGAGGATGAACTCTAACATTCTTCGTTTAGCTCCCTAAGCATACACTCTAACAAGTATTTAGGAAATGTGAACTTACATTTGAGGGTTTGACAAACCAAAGCATAGGTAGCTTTTTTGTTCCTAACGGAAGGACTATACACCAGCGACTTGATGGACCCGACGGCTCGACGCCGAGCGTCTCCTTGTAGAATAGTACGCAAAACCTTGGCGGCTTCTCTACGTGCAAAGTACGCCGACCGCTCGGCGTTGCTCATCCGTTTCTGGTTCGGCTTATTCGCCACCGGTTTAGTGTTCCCTTGCGGCTTCTTGCGCGCCATAGTTTCGACTCCGGCTGGTGACCGTGGAGAGAGAAGGAAACAAGAAACTGATAATGGGCTTTGGGCTACATGCTCGGGAATTGACACTATAACAATGCATCAGTATAGCATTTTTGGGGGGAGGAAGTGCACAAATAGACACCGATTAGAGATGTCTTTACTTTTTAGTCACTGTCTTAAATATATTTACTCTGTAGCCAGTACTTAATAAATTTTTACCCGCCGGACAAAAATATCCTTGTACTAGACATATGTGTTGTGTAAATATTAAGAACACGGTATCCTTAACTTCATAAATGTTGTGTAAATATTTAGGACAAAGTATCTTATATTTGCACCTTCTGCTGGTAAACTTTAGGACATCATATCTTTAACTTCATATGTCCAGTGTAAATATTAAGGACATGGTATCCTTAACTGCATGTGTGCAATATAAATGTTAAGGACATAATATCATTAACTTGTATTTGCAACTTCGGTTATTAAACTTTAGGACATCGTGTCCTTAACTTCATACGTATAGTGTAAATGTTAAGGACATGTTGTCATTAACTTCATGTATGCAATGTAAATGTTAAAGACATAATGTCCTTAACTTGTATTTGCACATCTTGTTGTTAAACTTTAGGACATCATGTCCTTAACTTCATATGTGCAGCGTAAATGTTAAGGACGTGGTGTCCTTAACTTCGTGTGTTCATTGTAAATGTTAAGGACATAGTGTCCTTAACTTCATGAATGATGTGTAAATATTAAGGACATGATGTCCTTAACTTCATATGTGCAGTGTAAATGTTAATGACATGGTGTCCTTAACTTCATATGTGCAGTGTAAATGTTAATGACATGGTGTCCTTAACTTTATGTGTGCAATATAAATGTTAAGGACATAGTGTCCTTAACTTCACGAGTGATGTGTAAATATTAAGGACATGGTGTCATTAGCTTCATGCGTGTTGTGTAAATGTTAAGGGCATGGTGTCCTTAACTTCATGTGTGCAATGTAAATGTTAAGGACATGGTGTCATTAACTTGCAATGTAAATGTTAAATACATAGTGTCTTTAACTTCATGAGTGATGTGTAAATATTAAGGACATGATGTCCTTAACTTCATATGTGCAGTGTAAATGTTAAGGACATGATGTCCTTAACTTCATGTGTGCAATGTAAATGTTAAGGACATAGTGTCCTTAACTTCATGAGTGATGTGTAAATATTAAGGACATGGTGTTCTTAGCTTCATACGTGTTGTGTAAATATTAATGGCATGGTGTCCTTAACTTCATGTGTGAAATGTAAATGTTAAGGACATGGTGTCCTTAACTTGCAATGTAAATGTTAAATACATAGTATCCTTAACTTCGTGAGTGATGTGTAAATATTAAGGACATGATGTCCTTAATTTTATATATGCAGTGTAAATGTTAAGGACATGGTGTCCTTAACTTCATATGTGCAATGTAAATGTTAAGGACATAGTGTCCTTAACTTCATGAGTGATGTGTAAATATTAAGGACATGATGTCCTTAACTTCATATGTGCAGTGTAAATGTTAATGACATGGTGTCCTTAACTTTATGTGTGCAATATAAATGTTAAGGACATAGTGTCCTTAACTTCACGAGTGATGTGTAAATATTAAGGACATGGTGTCATTAGCTTCATGCGTGTTGTGTAAATGTTAAGGGCATGGTGTCCTTAACTTCATGTGTGCAATGTAAATGTTAAGGACATGGTGTCATTAACTTGCAATGTAAATGTTAAATACATAGTGTCTTTAACTTCATGAGTGATGTGTAAATATTAAGGACATGATGTCCTTAACTTCATATGTGCAGTGTAAATGTTAAGGACATGATGTCCTTAACTTCATGTGTGCAATGTAAATGTTAAGGACATAGTGTCCTTAACTTCATGAGTGATGTGTAAATATTAAGGACATGGTGTTCTTAGCTTCATACGTGTTGTGTAAATATTAATGGCATGGTGTCCTTAACTTCATGTGTGAAATGTAAATGTTAAGGACATGGTGTCCTTAACTTGCAATGTAAATGTTAAATACATAGTATCCTTAACTTCGTGAGTGATGTGTAAATATTAAGGACATGATGTCCTTAATTTTATATATGCAGTGTAAATGTTAAGGACATGGTGTCCTTAACTTCATATGTGCAATGTAAATGTTAAGGACATAGTGTCCTTAACTTCATGAGTGATGTGTAAATATTAAGGATATGGTGTTCTTAGTTTCATACGTGTTGTGTAAATATTAAGGGCATGGTGTCCTTAACTTCATGTGTGCAATGTAAATGTTAAGGACATAATATCATTAACTTGCAATGTAAATTTTAAATATATAGTGTCCTTAACTTTATGAGTGATGTGTAAATATTAAGGACATTATGTCCTTAACTTCATATGTGCAGTGTAAATGTTAAGGACATGGTGTCCTTAACT